GCTCAATGTATTAAAAAAATTATGAATATAGTAACTACAGCAAATGTATTCATAAACTAAATCCTCTATCATTTAAGGAAAGGTTAAAGCCCACCTTCACTAAACAAACTGAAGCAACAGAAGCGTAAGCCTGGTTGTCTATAACATTGAAAAGATGTTACCATCCTAAGGAAAACCTTTGGAGCAGGATATTACATGCAGGAGGAACTAGATGAGTTACTTACAGAGATACCTGAGGATACCTGGAATATGCCAGAATCAGGCTAGACAATATTCCCCCAAGACGGTAAGTGTAAATTTGAACTTTAAAAACTGAAGTTGACAATGCACTGGCCTTTGCTTTGCAGGGAGCAATCTGTCAGAAAAATGGGCTGGGTGACTAAATTACAGAATCACAGAAACAAAGAGAATGGAAACACCTGAAGGGCAGTGTTTGAAGAAGTGACAGGTCTGAAACAGTTCCTCCTTAATACGTTTTTCCTTTCAGTCAGATATATGGAAAGCTGCACATGCTATGCAGCCAAAAATACCCCAGATTATTTAATCTTGTAGCCAGTAGCTATAATTCAGTGCCCACATTACAGCAGATAACATGATTGCACTGCTGTGGGCCAGCATCAAGTTGTCGTCTACAGTTGCCACGGCTTCCTGAAGAATTAAGGGCTCTGGCTCACAGAAAACTAAACCAAGATGCTATCAGATGAAAACAAGCACACTTCTCTGAGCAGTCAGGGGGGTGGAGAGAAGCAGGTCACCAGCACATAAAGTGGTTGTGCTCTGTAGTCTGACTGCCAGCCAGCTTTACCATCGTGTAATTTCCCAAACCTCAACGGAGACATAGTAGATGTGGTTTCCCACAGGTTATGACCTACAAGAATCAGAACCTTGAACAAAAAGCATTGCTTGGATTTGTTGGATGGGAAGGAACTAAGACAGGGGAAAGAAAGTAAGAATAGCAAACCACAGTAGCAGAGGACTAGTGTCATGACTGCAGCTTTTCTCCTTTGGAATAATCACTCTTGGTAAGCATTGCTCACTAAAGGAACACCATCAGAACACCATTAATACTCTAAAGTTAGTACCCCTGGAGACAAAAAGAATAAAAGCCTATATATTCAGAATCCAAAAGAATGCCTGTATTTAAGTTTCACAATCATTATTAGATTTTTTTTTTTTTTGCATCTGTTCTTTTATACTGTAATTTAAAAATTGGATGTAGTTGTGTTTGGCAAGTTCACGTCAATATGGTTATGACACAAAAAAAAAGGAAATTCACTTCTAGAATATTTCAGCCAAAATATTCCAGGAGAACCAGGAAATAAGGGAGTATTTCATATAATTCTATTTTTAAAAGTACCATTCCATCTGGATTATCTGTATAATCTTGTTCTCTTGGGTTCACATTTAAAACTAGAATTGGTACAGAGAAAGGCACCTAGGATGAGAAGGAGATTAAAGAGCTTGTTTTACTAGAGGAGATGAAGTCTAACCTGAAACACAGAGATCACAAGTGATGGGGGGAAAAAGAGAAAGGAAACACACTTTGGGGGAGGGGGAGGGCACGCAGAGAGAGAAAGGTATTAAGGGATAAATAACAGTTGAACAAAAGAATAATGAGAATAAGCTGACAGAACTGGCATAAAAAGGTATCGGAAGGAAATGAGAAGATGCTCAACCATCAGCCCATCTAGTAGAAAGCCTGGGAAGGCTGAAGGAATAGGAAATAGCCAACCAGCCTTAAGATATTAACACAGCCAGAGCTGACCACTGTCCCCCAGCACCAAACCTGGGGCTGCCCACATGCCTCCTGCTTCACCTGGGCTGGTCTTCAATTAGGTTGTTCATAAAAGCTTATAAGGCTATGTCCCACAGCCTACATAAATGCTTGCCTTTTCTGTGGAAAGACTTCTACAGAACCACTGAAGGCAACAACCTCATATAATCCAGATAAATGCATCAAGCTCCAATTTAAAAGTTAAAATTCTCTGTTCAAGCTACTTCAGCTGGGAGTCTCTTCCAAACATCACTCTGCTGAATTTCAGCATGGAATTACTCACAGAACATTTATAAAAAGTCTTGTGGCAATACTGTCCTTGAGATTAAGCCACTCTATTCCCTCTGTAGTTCTTCTTCCTTGTGTTAACACGGTCCAGTTAGTTCCTCTCCCTTCCCTCTATTTTCCTGGCCACACAAGGAATGTTGCCGTCATCTCCTCTTACAAGACAGGACCTTGGCCATGCTTGCAGCCATGTCCATTCGTGTTCCAAATAGTCTCTTCCAGGAAGTTGCCCAACTAGGTCTTTGTCCCTCCTTTCTTCAAAACTATCACTGCTTAGATACTATGGTTAATAACCTCTTAGATACTTGCTCAAGTTACAAGTAGTTGATACATGAAAGAGCTCAGGAGAAAATTGTTACGAAACCATGACAGAAGACAAGTATTATTTACGACTGATTCTGAAAAAAACAAGCAACCAACCACAGAGCAACAAAAACACTCCTGTGAGGTTTTAAGCCATGATCATGAAAAAGCTGGACATTGTTAGACAGACTTAACAAAGGTGGTTTTCCACAGGCTGGTGCAAACAGTTGCGCAGAACAGTGATCACTGGTGACAAGCTGCTACTGATCGCAGCTGTCCTGTCTATTTTCTTTAAACAATTTATGAATTTTACAAAGAATTATACCACAGAATGGCATATTACAGCCTTGGCCTAAAGTATAATGCAATTTCCTCATGAGAGTTTGATTTACAGTTACAGCTGAAATCATTAACAAGACACCATGAATGTGTAGCTGTCTCTGAAATACAGTGGCTGTGGATCTGGAAACTGGCCTCACTTCAAATGCAACAAAGATTTCTCCAACAGAAGAAAAGGCAGAAAAAACCCTAAATAATATGGCAATCATTTGATAAAAAGCTTTTACATCATTAGTGAAGAGAAGTCATGATGTAAATCCATGAGATGCTGACAACTAGAAAACAGCCTGCAAATGCCTTGAACCTACTTTTGAACTTGATTGAACAGAGTGACAGAAATTTGATCAAGGTGTTTGCCAGGGAGGGGAGAGGGAAAAGCGTTGCAAGGAGTAAAGAACTCAGGAGGACACCATGTTTGCTGCCTCCCAGCTTCAGCAGAAGCGAACTCATCGCACATACCCTCTGCAGCAGTGTCCTCTGGCAATGACTGCTGTTCTGAGTGTAAACCTCCCACTGACTTCAATGGGACTCACATGAAGCTAGGAAAGAAAATCCTGGCTTGACTGAAACCAACAGAAATTTTGATAAAGCCTTCAAAGAAGGATAAGACTGCACTAGGAAATGATATTTCAAACAGCCTCAGGTTTCCCCTCAGTGCTAAATTTTATTAATATATTAAAAGGAAAACATACCTACATACCCAACAGGAAAATTCAAGCTGGTTCCAATAATTTTGCTGGAAATATGCTAATTCACACCAGCCAAAACCTTGCTCCTTTTACATGCTGATGTTACCTATCTTGAAAAGAACTAATTCTACAGATAAAGAGTATTTCTTCTTACATAAATTAATGGCTATCTTTAATGGTGTAATAATTAACTGCATACTAAAGCAAGCTGTAGAAACAGAAACACAACCTCCATAATTTGCTAGTGACAATAATTGAGAGGGAGGGAGGGAAGGGGAGAACAGAATAAAAAGAGCGACAGTGAGCTGAAACCATGGAGTAAGTATTTCCTATTCAAAGTACCTCAAAGACCTAACAGGGAAATAAGAATTTGCATGACACCTCATCTTTAAAAGTGTATGCATGTTTCAAAAAAAAAAAAAAACCCAAAAAAACCCAAAAAAAACCCCACCACCCAAACAAAAAACCTCCTACTATATAAGGGCTGACATATATTCTAAGCAGTTGAATCAGCCTCTTGACATTTACTATGCTCATTTGTAACAGACTAGCTTTCAAAGCAAGAGAAGGGACATCTGTAGAAGCCACACAATGAAGGTCAGTGAAAGCCATTTTAAGCTTTTTCCTAAAATCTGTTGCTTGAGGGTGAGGGGGGGTGGGAGTAATCTGCCCTTCGATAAAGGGTAAATTGAATCAAACCATTTGCCTCCAGGAGAGTTGAACAGGATAAGTGAGCCCAAGGATAAATCTCCAGAATAGGAGAGCTGGTCAGACAGAAATAAAATTGTCGGCGAGGATGGTATTGTGTATTTACAAAGGAGTTGAATTTGGATGGACACAGGAGGACAAGCTCTCCTCACTTTTCAACTGTTTACTACTTTTGCTAGCTGTCAGAAGGGATTCTTAGTTCAGGTTTCATTGCGAGAGGACTGCTGCAGACATTTCCTCCACACCGCCTTGAAGATTCATCTCCGGATGAAACACATTTCCAAGTGTCAGCCTGAATAAACCTCGACTTCATTTATTCAGAGTAATGACGACATCCAGTGGCCACCAAGTTTATCTCAGCCTATGACAGCAAGATAACCTCTTATATTAGAATAGATAATATCTTTCCATAAAGGAACGCTGCTCTTCCACCTCCTAGTCTAAAAGTAGGAGTGCATTACAAGGAACTCTATAATCATTGAGCAAGGGTCTTCCTATTCAGGTCCTCGTACAAACTCTAACCAGGACTTTTGCAGTTCTATCTCACATTGAAAAATTATAAATGAAAAACGCAAAACCTCTTAAGCACTTCCATGGTACTCAAAGAAACTGCAAACCAGCAAAAATAAAAGTACATCAAGAAAGGGGGTTGGGGTAGGAAAACCTGCATATGCACACACACAAGCCGCTCAAGCTATTAAAACTGCTTGCCACACCTACCAAACTCAGTCACACGTACACACTTTTAGAAGACATGGAAGAAACCACTTTTCAAAGTGCTTCAAAACAAAAACCCAATGTTTCTGGTTTCCACTTTTGTAAGGAACTCAGTCAAAATACAAAAATATAACACTTTAAGCATGCTTGTGTTCTTTCACAGAAAGTATCTGTTAAATACTTACTTGCCCAAATATTTCTGGCAGCCCCAAAACTTGACCAGTGAAAACACCAAGACAGATGAAAATCGCTGTGACCTGACCCAATGAACCACGAATTTCCTTAGGAGATATTTCACTCAAATACATGGGAAGAGCACTCAGAGAAATGCCTATGAAGGAAGGAATAAAAGATATCAGTTGGTTAGAACACGGTGCTAATAACGCCAAGTTCATAGGTTCAATCCCTGCTTACTGCAGGGGGGGTTGGGCTCGATGATCTCTCAAGGTCCCTTCCAACCCAAAGCATTCCATGATTCTATGATTCTAATATTAAGTCAAATTGCCTTTTCATTATGCCAGGTATGAAACAAACATCTACTGAAAGGAGTCTGAATGCTAATCTACTCACAAGAGTGGCATAAAAACATGTAAAGAACAGAATTATATCTATCCACAGGTAATATCAATTATCTTCTCTGCATGTCTAATTATTCTTGCACCATTTAATACGATTACGATTATATGATTACGATTGCACCATTTAATATGATTGCGATTATCTTTTAGAGATCTACAGTGATGTGCGTAGGCTGCTATTTGATGAGAAGCACCAAAGGTTACTCAGAGATGAGAATCACCAGGAGAACAGATTTTATGTTTTAAATTTGTTCATTCCAAAGGAAGCAAAATCACGTTAGCACTGGTGCAGGTAAGGGAAAAAAACCCAATGGGTCAGGCAGAGAGAGCAGACACTGTCAGACGAAATATTTTTACTGTAAAGGGTATTAGCAGATGTTCCTTTCAATACAGGCTTACAGCTACAATGAACTCTTAATAGCAGGCATAAAATAAGGGTGAGAATGCTGCCCAAAGCCAGGAGAAAACAGACACATGACCCTGGTTAGTACAATGGCAATATTTACAAAGCTCTAGAAGTTCGGTCGTTTGGTGGTAATCTGAGACAAAAATTAGCAATCAGCACCAAAATTACCCGTGAACTTCATACTGCAAGTGATGGACACGTCCACAACTGTAGTTTGTGCTTACTAACAACACAGACAAAGCTTGCCAGGAAGAGGGCTTAAAACAGGGCACAAAGCATGTTCCATTGTTTAGAGTCAGGTAAATTTCACACTGAGAGGGTAAAGCTATCTTAATTAATCAAGTCTGTCTCCACGTTAGGTAAATATTTCTCACTATCTGCCGATCTGTGAAGTCGCTGAGAACCTCACTGCTAGCTGCAAGACTATTCTGGTACAGCAGTACCTCCATGATTTACTTTTAAACTGGGAAGACCCTGTTGCTAGGAGCAAATGATGATGTACCAAACCTTCCACTTAGTCCTACTGGTATTAGCATGGCATCCAACAACTTCTAAACACAAAGAAGCAAGCAGCTTTAATAAATAGACTACACCCTCCTAGCCAAAGGATTTTCATAGCATGAAGACAGATATGCTCTACCAGGGCTGGAGGAGGAAAGAAGAGGGAACAAGCAGGGTGGACAGCAGTGGCTAGCATCCATTCCAGTGTCTTCTCCAAACATCAGATCCTCTGACCCTTGTTCTGCTGGTTTCCTCTGTGAAATCAGTGTGGCTAGTCCCTGAAATGCCTCTTTAATGTAAACAAGGATCTAACTGAGGGAGAGGAGAAAGATTATGCATGGCACCAGCATTTTGGATATGTACAGTGTGATAAAAGCTTACCTGCATCAACACCCATTATAATGCGTCCCAGTATGAGCATTTCAAATGACCCTGCCAACAAGGAGAGGGACATCAACAACGCAGCTGTCACTGCAAACACATTGTTGAGGAGCAACGTACGCTTCCTAAAAGAAAAGATATTTTATGTAGATAACAGCATCACAACAGTTAAATCTAGTCATATTCAAAGCACCCTAGGCTATTATTCTTAAATATCCATAAATAAAACCAAAAAAGGCCCAACAAACACTGCCTTTTAGATATTGCATAGAGTTCCAAAATACAACACTATACCCAAATGGACATAGTTCCAAACCTATGCCAGAGGTTTAAAATAGAACATATCATAGTTAAATAAAGAGCAGTACTTCAAAGGCATGGCAATTAGCCATCCTACGCATCCTAAGAACCCATGTGCCATGCCCGAGACTCTATATATGAGTATAAACAAGCATACTCTGGGTAAATGTATGCATGTAGGAACCAGAGAATATACTTCAAATAGCATAAAGCTGATATATCTATAGGCATTTTTATGCTACATTTAGTTTTTGCCATTTTGAGAACTTCCCAATGCTGATATGTCATTATAATTAATCCTTAAACCCATGATATTAAAAACATACATTGAGGAAAATTACTTACTACTTGTAGAGTTAGAAAAAACGCTTGGGCTCAGAGGAGTGATAAAAATCAACCTCTTTCAAAAAACTGTTGAAATTAACCAAAATATTGATTTACACCTTTTCTTCCCCCCAAATTTTTAAATTGTTTCATTCTATAGCAGACAAATAAAATGTGAAAAAAATGTTTCTTTAAGAAAAGACATGTTCTTTATGGAAAATTATTACTTTGTTGAAAAAATTCAAAGAAAATAATGAAAATATTCTTTTAAAATTTCAAAACAATCTCAATTTCTCATTCACACTATACCAACAGCTGTATTTCCTAGTTTTCATCTCACAGAACTTTCTGCTGAAGTTTGAGGGACTCACTAATTCAACAGTGACTCGTAAGTCTTATAACTTCTGCAGAAGGAAACACTTTACAAAAGAAATGATATGTAGGATTTCATGGGCCTTTGACAGCCAGATTCAAACACTGACATCCAATGTCTCATTTTCTGAACACATGGAAGAAGAGTGGTTAAAGATATAAGATCAATAGCTCTGCTGCAATGATTCTGTATTGAAAGATGAAGTAGAAAACCCACCCAGAACTCAGAGAATCACTGCTAACTTATACACGTCTCCACAAATATGGATTTAAGTGGCTTTTTGCTAAATTAAAGCCTGCAGGTGAATGGCTGGAGAAGCCAGTATCATCAGGTTCAGCCTTGCGAGCAACTGAAAAGTTTCTTACATTTCCCACACAAAGTCACAGCCAGGGCTGGGATATCTGCTGGAGATGTGGTGGCCTCTCTACAGCACATCACAATGAGCTAGCTGCTTTGCATTGCTTATGATCTAACACGAGACAAAACACCGTAATTTTCACAATTATGCAGCAAGAGAATGATCGTACCCTACGTTTTCCATCTGTGAGTCATCTCACCTAGTTACATGCAGTAAAAACAGAGCTTTGTCTTCACCAGTCACATAATTAAGCACAGTCTTGTTTTGGCTCTAGAGGTACAACTCAATACTGAAGCCTCCAATCCCACTCAACATATGAAGGAAGCAACTGATTTGAAAACATCACTGATGATGTAAATTATGAGGATTTTATTAACTTTGACAGTAAATGGCACAGGCTGAAAATATACCAATTTTATTAAAAAACTGAAGCAGTATTCTCAATGGATTTTCAGTCTCTATATATTGTAATTGCCATGCAAAAGAAGAGCAATGACCAGAAAGGCTGTCCACCCTTTTCTTTTCCAAAGCAGGTAACAAATGGACCCAGTGGTTCTCATTCTTCTCGAGTTCAACACATAGGTACCAACTGGAAATCTCCCTCCACATTGAACCAGTCACCCAACATGTTACAACAGATCAATATATTTTTGATAGGAAGTATTTTTAATTACTTTTCCTGCTTTCTAGTGTTTTTTGAACATTGCTTGAATGAATAACATTGTTTGAAGATCAATGAGATACAGCTCATTTAAAATATATATTTACACAACATAGCTGTCAAGTGTGATGACTTTACCATTTGAAACAGATTTTTCAAATGTATATAATTTGAGAGGGCTAAAGTGATATAAATAATGCCAGAAATGGAAACAAAATGTTCATTCATGTCAAACAAGTGCTATACATTCATCTGAAGTTATTACTTTCTTCTTCTTTAATTTAAATAAAACCTACAAAATATTTATCATCTTAGAAAAAGCTGGCCAGTGACCCCTTATTCTACACAGCAAAGAATAGAAAAGCGCAACCTAACAGATAAAAACAAAGGATTTTGTCTTTGCCAGATTGAAAAAAAATGAAAACAAGAAAGTAAGACGCTGTTTAGAGTGTTACTATATAAACCATGCAAATTTTTGGTAATGCAAACACTGTGCTGGGTGTCTGTGGCAAGGTTTTGGAAGTGAAGGGGCCACAGGGGTGGCTTCTTATGAGGAGATGGAACTAGGGAATAACAAGGTCAGCGGAGGAGAAGGTGCTCCACAACTGAGCAGGTACATCCCCAGAGGGACTGTGGCCCATGGAGGACCCACAGTGGAGCACAGGACTAGCATGAGAAGGAAGGAGCAGCAGAGGGAAGTTGCTGCGCACTGAACCTGACCTGCTGTACTGCCCGTTCCCTCACTGAAGGGACTGAGTGTGACCTGCTGTGGTACCAAGGGGGAGGAGAGGAACCTGGAGCAATGTTCTGCCTGGGAAAGCAGGAGAAAAGGTGTTTTAATGTTTGTCTTGTTTCCCAATACCTGATTAGTAATTAAATATTTATGCTAATTGGCAATAAATTAAGTTAAATTCCCCAAGTTGAGCCTGTTTTGCCCATGACAGTAATTGGTAAATGTTTTCCCCTTCTTTAGTTTGACCCATGAGTCTTCTTGCTCCTGTTCCTCCTATTTCTCCCCAGTCCCCCCCCATCCCACTTGGGAGATGGGGAATGACGAGCGGCTGGGTGGGTTCTTGGCTGCCAGCTGGGGCCAAGCCACCACAAACGTAAACAGTGGGAACAACTTCTCAACATAGCTCCTAAGAAAAAAATACAGCAAAACCCCCAAACTCCCCATGCTATCTGAGTTTACCTCCAGTCAGGTCATATTATATTCAGAATTGCTATAATCATAAAAAAACCCCTGTGTTTTCCTGGTCATGTAGGCTAAAACTGTATTACCTTTGCCACAAGGCATAGAAAAAAAAAAAAACAAATCAAAAAACCCCAACAAACCCCTGCTTGTATAGCTCTAAAATAAGTGATATAAAGATACCACACTTAATAAAGCACCGCAGCAGATATTTTCCCTTGGGAAAGTCCAACCAGTCTTGTCAGATAACTGTGCTCACCACACCTACGAAGTGTAAGCATGCAAACTTCAGCACTAAGCCTCCATAAGAACAGACACACGCTGATCTGTTGGTCAGCCTAATCATTTCTCTCACATCCCAAATCACAAACTGATCAAGCAATTGTCCAAATGGTACATGAAACCTACTGAAGTATAAATATCATACTGAGGTCTCACATAGCACATTTCATTTTTCGGTCTTGATGAAGGTTATAGAGCACTTCAATATCCCTATTTCTGTAACTGGGTAAACAAAGGAATAGATAAAGTAGACTCAACCTAAAGCTAACAGGCAAACCAATGCCAGACCTTGGAAAGGGAACCTGGACTCAAGCTCCAGTCCAGAGCCCCACGTGGTTCTGCTGCAGCTATTGGAGTAAAAATACTAGACTAGGATTCGTTTAGATATGAAGATTTTTGTTCCTTCCATTCAAATAATTCAGCATTTTCTCCAGCCAAAAGAAATAAAGCATTTATGCATTCCAAAAAGTAGATGCTTTCAAAAACTTCTGATTGAGCACAGAACATTTGTCACAAGCAGCTACATCCTAAGCCAAACCGTAAGTTTTGCAACTTAGTGCCAAAACTGGTTCTAAGACTGACTATCCGTACTGCTGCAGGAATGTAACTTCCAATCCTGTACTCAATCTGAAGTAGTCCTGAGAGAAGAGCCATTTGCTCTGTAGAAATCAGTTTCTATAAGCATTCCAGCTGGATACAGACAGTTCACCCATCAGCTAGATACAAACAAAGCTAAGCTTTAAGGATTTTTTCTGCCTTTTTCTTTTTTAGGTATTTTGGATATTGAAAACACTTGAGAATCTCTTCCTCATAACTGCCCTTGCCTTTTTGCAAAACCACATATGATTAATCTCTTGTGATTTCAAGGCTGGCATTTGCTCTCATGATATTGGATAGTTCCGGAGGCCAGAACACAATCCTAGTGACTATGTGCCCTCCATGGCTGCAATAACTTTAACTAGGGATTTGGATTAATAATCCTTTTGTCTAAACCTCACAACTAGGAAAATGATAGAATTAAAGTTTCATCAAAAATGTATTATTGTCTCAAAAATCAGTAATAAGAAAGACTCCAGAAGGTCCACTTGGGAGCAAATATCATACCTTATACAAAAAGTATAGTAAGGAAACTAGGTGTTTAAATAACAAGCTGCATGTTCTTTAAACTAGGTGTTTAAATAAAAGTCAGTAACAGATTGAATACTGGATCACCGTTTCAACTACAGTAGATGACTTCAGAATAACGAAGTGGTAGCATTACTAAGATAATCCAGATAAATTCCCTTAATCGCTTCATACTCAAAACAGTTCACTGTGCTAGGGGGAAGGCCTTGTCCCTCTCCTGCAAATGCCTCCCTAGCAGTGGCCTAAGCAACCCCCTGAGCATATCACTCTGGGTGTTCAGGATATGCAACAGCAGCTGCTCTTTGGTAGGAGAACGGAATTTAAATTCTGATGTGTCAAAGCCACATTTGAACATGGGACTTATGCATATGTGGATGAAGGCTCTCTTTGAAAAAATTACATCTCTCAAAGTAAGTAGGGCCTAGGAATCTGGTAATTTGGAAATTATATTATTAACCTTACAGCAATATGATTCAGGAGTGCTCTTTTTAACCTCACACATTATTTCTGACTAATGCTTTTGATCCCCCTTAGTTCATTATTCTGTGTCAGTGTAAATGCAGCTCCGCTTCGTCATGCATACAACCCTCCAACTTACACTTGAACAATTTAACAGCAAAGTATTTTATTGTTCTGTCAACATTTCATAATGTGCTCCTCAATTACCATTCTGATAAGTCAGTCTGGTTTCCTAGACCAGACGAACACTCTGCAGTGTGAACAGCAAACTCAAGAACCACACTTTGACCAGCACCCTTTATCCAGTGTCCCTGAGAAATGCAATCCCTTCCCATCTCTAATCAAGTACCTGTATATCATATCTGTAAGAGAGCTGTTTTCATGGTTTAACAGGGATAAACAGGGGCAGAGTCTGCAAGCTTTGAAGCTCAGCCCTGGAAATATGATCTGCTCCCATCAAAGTGGTATTCATACAATTGAGATCAGCCACCACTTTAACAACCCTGCACACAAAGATGTTCTACTCTTCACCAAAAATTCAAGCCTTCTATGAACCCATATTTTACTTCAGTTTTTAATAAAGTAAAGAAGACTCAGCGACAATTCTGGGAATTAATCAGTCTGAGTCAGGCATAGTTTCATATATTTAAGAAGTGTGTAAAAGCCAAATTGATGATTTGGCAGAAGAAATTGCAAACCTAAAAAAAAAAAATAATGTGACTATGAAAAATATTTAAGAATTGATAATCAAATGGTGAAGTAAAGGGACAGAATAAATTAATGAAGAATGGATAATATATTTACTGTAAGCATGAAATGGAAGAACCTGAAAACATACTCTTTGAGGTGAAAAACGGGATGTGGAAGAGTTAGGAGAATGACAAACAGGCGTAGGACAGCACAACCTAAAGTGACAGAAATAGTCAAAATGTAGAACAGAAAAGTAAGAACAGTGGAGGTGGATGCTTATATTTAAGCCTCTGTGATGACCTTCTCCAGTGATTTAACTGAGCAAAAATTACTAAATTATATAGAATTTACAAATAAGGAAAAGCAAAATAAGCAGTTAAGATGAATAGCTTTTTTTTCATGCCCATCGAAATATAGGTAAATTACAAATTATTTTTAAAATTCTCTTTGAAAGACTGTATGAAACAAAAATTTGATAGAAATACCTAGTTAGTACCTGCAGAAAAAATGCAAACACACACCAGCACAAACATTCCTAAAATACTCATATTCCCTATGGTCAAGACTTGGTCAAATACTGCATTGCATAGAGCACGGAAGGCATCCCCAAGCTTGGGGAAGACCAAACACAAACTCCACCCTAGTTTAGTTCTTCAAACTGTATTTTATGTTGACACAAGGAAGAAAAAAAGAAGAGCAAATTTTTATTACAACAAATGCTGTTGAGAAGCAAACGAAACACATTGATAGCTTTATTTGTGTACAGTAAGATACTCAGCAGACTCCTGAAACAAGAATCTGCCAAACCTTTGTGAAATCTTTCCTATTTTATGGTATTTTCCTTTTGTACTCTTGAAAATTCAACCTTCTTGACATCTCAACCCACTGCCCGTTCAGAGCAAATGGCTTCTGTGACTTACATGATGCAGAGTAAGGCCAGAGAGAAAGGTACTAATTTTACTCTTCGAAATTCAGAACTCTTAGAAATGAGCTTTCATAATTTGAAGATGTTTGAATTTGCGTTCTGGTGAAGAGGATTTTTCAAAAAAATAAAAGTAAAGCCTTCTAGAGAGACCAAGTGAGAAACTGCTTTAGAAACTAGAAGTTTTCCAATACACTTACCGTCCAAAGAACTTGACAATTGGGGTAACAATAATGGCACCCACAAGGCCACCAATGGCAAAAATAGAAACAGTTATAGACCAGAGGAGAGTCAGTCTGCTTTCATCCACTGAGAAGCCATATCTTCTTTCCCAAGTTTCATTGTAAAACTTCTTGATATGCTGAAAGAAAATACACAATAATAATACATGTAAAAATCACACTTTAAGAACACAACTGACAGAAACAGAGTAAAAAAAAAAAAATCCCACAGTAGCTTGCTTGCAGGAATCACCCTTGCTCTTCTATCTCCTTCCTCCAAAAAACGGGGCCTCACTTCTAGATGCAACTGCAATACAGACTAACAAAACCAGTCAAAGCATACGTACATTTAACTACATGCCAGTCATAAACAAGGTGGGGGAAAAAAACCACAGGTAGACATGAATGTAGAAGAGGCTTATAAAAGCAAAACTCCCATAAAGCAAGGATGTTACCATTTAGGTTGTCAGTACAACATTAACAACACTTTGTTTTAGCCGTGCTGTGAACACATATATAAACATTTCAGCCCAAACTGGGGCTAAGGGCTCAGACACAGAATGACAGAATGGTTGAGGGTGGAAGGACCTCTGGAGGCCATCTTGTCCAGCCCCCCTGCTCAAGCAGGGCCACCTAGAGTTGGCTGCCCAGGACTGTGCCTAGAGGTTTTTGAATATCTCTAAGGAGGAAGACTCCACAAAATCACACCCGTGCTTGGCAAGGCACTGCACGTCAGCTGAGCTCCACTCACTGCTCACATACATACTCTGAACCTCAGGCAGGTGAGATATTGCATCCTGGTGTAACAGTTTTTTGGACAAGCCAAGCAAAACTGCACTGCCTAGCATTTGCCATGACTTTTAAAAAAAGAACATGCACAAATGCTTAAATGCTAACTACCGTTAGTCAATTTATTGAGTCACTGATCATTAATCAGACTCTTACATTAGGAGCAAGTAGTTTTACGGCTTTTTCATGGATCTGTAGTACCAATAACTTGGAAATAAAAAAGAGGGAGGGAGGGAGGCTCCAGTAGCAGGCAGAAGTGAAAATGTCTTAAAGAACTTGGTGAACTGGCAGAAATGCAAAGGTAATGAAGAAGGGAGATGCAATTCCTGCCAGACAGCAACATGACTGAGATCAAGAGAAGAGTTTGGCTTGCGTTACAGGACACAGCACCAAGTGCCATATGTTGATAGGTTTGGGGGTGTGTGTGTGGGAAGTTCACATGTAACTTAGGAATTTCCCTGGAAAATGCTTAAAGATGCTTTAAAAGTTATATAAGCAGGAATTCTTGATAAAAGCCTGCACTGTGCTCACCATGAAACAACATTTATCATCTCTATCTTGTATTTCAGTCGTAAAATGCAGATCTCAGACTTGCTCAAAATTAAGTGCCTTTCACTAGACTATTTTTTCCAAAGGGCCAGTACTGTAAAAGTAAGTGACTCTATAGCAATTCTTTAGCCTAACACTAGGAAAAAAAAAAAAAAAATAGAGTGAATTCAAAACAATTGGCATTCATGGATTAAGGGAAGAAGGGAGCTTGTGTCCACTTTTACGCTATTTTTATGACACTGCCACATCTGGCAACCATACAAAGTCAAGGACCTACTAAGCCAAGCAATGAAAAATAACATTTTTCTCCCAAAGAATTTACAGCCAAGACAAATAACTGTTAGAGGAGGGGGGCAAGAGCTGACAGCTGTTGGTTTGATACTGATGGGGGCGGGGGGAGCCCACAGTAGCAGTCAAAAAGAGCTAGTTGTCTGACACCATTAAAATAAAGAATCCCAAATCACTTTTATAAGGATGTTATAGCTTCTCCCCTTCAAATTTACATAAGTTGCTTTTTGAACAAAGTTCAGGCTGCTAAACAAGGTGAGGAATTTCTTTTCAGTAATGAAAGACGTATCAAACATGAAACCAGCCACCTAAGATCCTGATAGGAATCTACCTGCCAGACAAGCTGGTTCTCTTAAGAAATGAAAATCTGAGACCTATCTTCTAACTCTTCGGCTACCCCAAGACCTACACTTTTCTCCCACAGCAGTTTAATTTCCTTAACAGTATTCCATAAGGGTCCTTCCAGGCTATCTGTTGAAAGTCCAACTGCCTTTCGAATCTCTGGAGAACTCTGACAGATGCCTGAGTCACAGTCCTCTTTTGCAAAGGCCAAGCCAGCTCTTCCCCAAATTCTCACTTTTCTGCTACAGTTTCTGTTATTTTGTCAGGTACAAATAACTAATTCTTAGCATGTATGTTCCAAGTTTCCCCCCTAAAAACTACTTCTTTTCTTAAAGTCACATTAACGCTCGCAGTCTGTTACTAAGGCTATCTAAAAAGAAGCTGAACCATGATACATATATTTTGAGGTTTTTTTTTTTTTCAGGCTTGAACAAATGCTAAGGTATTTTGGCAACCTGACACAAAATTATCACTAATTTTATTCCCTATCTCTACTGACATTTCAGCTTCTCCAATACATCCCCTATGAAGAAGGTTCCAGCATGGGACCTCCCCAGACTTTTCCAATCCAAAACATAATTCAGGTTTCTTGTTATGTCCTTGTATTTTCTGAACACCCTTTTTCAGCTTCATCTATCAGCCTTATATCCCCAAGCCCTCTGTCTGGACATTTTTCGTGCCTGCTGAAAGTACCCAAATTCCAGGACCAGGTCACTTTTTTAGCCTTCAATGTGCCAGAGTTCATATTCTTTTTCTGCTTTCCTCACATGAGCACAACTGCAGGTTTTTGAAGGATGCCTTCTAACAACTTCCTTTCCCTGATGTTTAATTACACCAAAGTTTCTTCATCTTTCTAAAAGGTAAAGATGTCATAGCTCCAGTGTGACATTTTTACATAGTCTCTGTATCGCCTGCAGAGACATCGCCTATTTACTTTCTTTTTAGTCAAGCTTCCTCATTTTTATGCTGTTCCCATTTCGAAATCAAGCAAAGCTCCAGTGCCATCGTGGCGTCTGATGCTCTGGCAAGGACACAGTGCCAGGCGGTCACTACAGGAGAAGGGCGCAGCCCGCTTGTGTAACGCTCTCGCCTGTTCTGTGTCACCGCTCCTTGACAAGCTCTACAGTATCACAGAGTTTAATCTGGGCACTTTTCCCCAGTTTCTTCTCAGACTTCCTCCAGCATGTCACAGGTACTAAATTATCCCAGGGCACTACTCAGCAATATAAGCCTAACACCACATTTTCCCTGCTCAAACTAGGAATTTCAAACTTTAGGTATTCCAGCCCTGGACACATGGACTATTCGATTTGAGGACTTTATTTAGTTTGAAATACTACCTCTCCACCTGCAAAGTACCTAAGAATGGTGGAGGCAGAACATACCACTTACTGTCTTCCTTCTATCAAGTTTCTCGCAGGCCTCTTGAGCCCTGAATTAAAAGGAGGACAGGGATATTTCTCCCATCCTATCTTATATGCTTCTATACAAACAGACAGAAAAAAACACAAATAAAAAAAAAAAGTCAATTGGTGCTTGGTCCATTTAGAAGAATCTCGCAGTAAACTGTCAAACGAATCTGCCATTAAATCAAGTAATCTATTTCATCTCTTTAACACCAATACTCAGATTATATGCAGATTCAGATTTCTTGTTTATTTGAAGTTCATTTCTGATAGTAATGAATACTAAGAGAAAACATATTTAGAACACTATTAGCATTTCTTTCTAATGATAATGGCTAAAAATAGTACACAAATTATTCTCCCCTTGTGTTATGACTTTTTCTCAGCATAGCTTTGTTATTTACAAGGAGATATCAAATAACTGCAAATATTCAAGAAAAGAAAGTACAAACTACAACACTCAATAGTAACAGATAAATGTGCTGGCATGTACATCACCTGTGCCTGGATTCCCACTGCCAATAAATGAGAAGCTAAAAACACATACAGGTTTTGAGGAGTTGCACATGAAAATGAAAACCCAAAGAAGAAAACAAAACCGATCCAACAAATCCATTGGATTTGAATCCATTGAATTCTGTGGAAAGGCTCCTTTGGGATTTTAATCAGTTGTCTGAAAAATGCTAATGGCATAAACATGTATACAAAAATTTTAGCCCCTAATCAAAGCCTACAAGGAATGGTAGCTGGCTGATACCAGTATCTCATATTCTGCTGCCTCAGTTCATTAAGGTAGTAGTGCTAGGGTGGGAAATATAAGGGATATATATATTTTTATGTATTTATACATATATGTAAACACAAGGGATATATTTTAAATGTAAGGGAACTATTTTCCTTGTCTCTAACTGTAAATAACTTACATGAAGGGAAGAGATGAGATGGTCTTTAGAGAAGAAAAATGACCTTACCCACAGTTACAAGGGTCACTCCCACACAGTGACAGCTACCCAGCTGGCTGACACAGCAGGCTATACATTGTTGCAAACAGTCTCACTTTCCCCGTATCAGCTCCAAAAGGAATGCAGAGCTGCAGCCACCCGCAAGGAGGGGGCAAGGGCTGCGCAGCAGTAACTAGCAGAGACTTCACTTCCCGCACAGAGCACAAAGCACATCACTGTTCTACAGACCTTGCCCACAACCGGCCCATGGAATGAATTGTAGAAATTCAGCTCAGAGAAAGACAGCTTCAACTTGTATTCAATTAAAGCATTTGACTTCCTACTGCCAGATGCTCCCATACATTTTTAATAAATTCTGGTAACTCTTTGAACAAGCCCACAGAGACTTCTAATTCTGGGTTTCTTGTGTGATCAAGCACTGTGTGCAGGGGGAAGCACACCTGCCATGGGCCACTGCTCTTTCCCACAGAAAAGTAGGGGACTGAGTGGGAAGCGATCTCTGCTCTGAGCAGAGCTGGTGCAGTTTATTCCCCCCTTGCAACAAAAAGGAAGTTGGACTCACTGTACCTTACGAGATGACCTGCAGTAAAGGTCAACAGTGAGAACTGCAGTTTGATTTGCTGGTGCAACTTTCAGCATTGAAAGGGAACATACACGAGAATTTACAAACAGTTCTTCAACGCTTGTCTTAAATTAACTTCCCCACCCCAGTTTAGTCATCTTGCTGACACGTTCAGTACCAGGATCCTGGAAACAGCCCATCTTTCAGTCAACAGTCATTACCAAGCATTTTTTCAACACCTCTCAAAGCCTCATACAGTCCTTCTCTAAGACTGGAGGACTTTAGGCATCAAAAGGAATTGTGATGAAGTAAATAGGGGCAGAAGACCCAACACCTTACAGAGAGATGCTCATACAATGCAGGCTGTAAGCTGCACGTCACCAGAACAAGTTATGTGCCCTACCAAGTTTATAGAAGAAACTCACCTTACAGCTTTTAGGAATTACTGCACTCCCAATACAACCTCTTACGAGAGTGCTGTTTATTATCTACAGCTAAAAGCTGCTCCCCTTTGATTTCCTTCAGTCACCTCACATCAGTATTCCCAAAGGGTCACCTTGCAGCAGACTGATTTGGTGACATACAGGGGGAAAACAGATGGGGCAAAGGTTCCTTTTCTTGTGCTGCAAGAAGCACAGCTTTGGTATAGCTCGCTCCTCCCCACCACGGATATGAGCAGAGCCCAGACTCTTCCTTTCAACGAGGTCACTGCAGCCTGTCCCGGGAAAATGAATGACACGGTCTAATCCTGGGGCTAGAGAGAGGACCACAGGCCACTCTGGTATTTTGCTCTTGAACTACACAGCTATGTATTCCTTGTCAGTAGGGTGTATGACTAAGACTGCTCCTTAGCCCAAGCTAATGTATGGCTTAACATGAATAAGAAGGACATGAAATTCTCAAACAAACACTGTAACACCATGCTGGAAAAGGGCAGACTTCATGCATACCTGTCAACAGTATGGCCAAAGCCGTCAACATGGTGCCCAGTTTCAGTCCAAAAGCAACAGTAAAGAGTTCAAGCACAAATGTACAGTCCTGGAAGCACTGCTAACCACAAGGTCTCGAATTTAACATTTGTCACGGTATGGTTGCACCTTCAACCTCCCCACCCACACTCTGGTCGTCGCTATAATCTATCACACGGTTCAAACCTAACCGTCTGAGTGTTGCCAAAGAGCAGGCCCTTTCTTTCCTTTACTCCTGCAGAAAGTGGCAGGAGAGCTCTGATTACCAGGATGGCCCATTTTTTAAATGGTGCTTAGAAATTTAGAAATTGGATCATTCTCACTGCTCTGCTGACAGTACCGAGGCAGCGCAGGAAGGATGCCTGCCATCAGGACAATCAATACCATTGCTCACAGAATTTCAGCTCCCTGCTGATTTCTTCCAAGCCATGTTTACCCTCTGATGACTGCAAGGTGAAGTGATACCTAGACATGTCAGGCTAGAATAAACATCCAGCCTGTCTAACCCCGTGTTATTGGTACAAAATGTACCAGGAACTTCAAGAAAATTCCCAGAAGTTATGAAAGGGGCAATTAAAACTTCCTGCACGGTGAGTCTCTTCCCAGTCATTTGGGTCATCAGTTTACCAAATAAAATACACATATGAAACACAAATTTAAAAAAAAATTCTTCTTTAATTATTTGCATAAATATTGCATCCACCTTTAATGTGACCAACATGCTTAGGTGGAAACCCAGCTGCACATTTTAATAAGAGATTTCCATAAAAGAAGGAGCTTAGCTTTGGAAAGGATCTGTTTTGAAATGAAATTTCCATGGTTAGTTCCTAAAATTTAGTAGCGACTTTTTCAAAATAGTGTTGCTTGCAACTCCACTGAATTGCTTACTGCTGTGCTTGACTGAATTAAGAGGATCTCTAGACAGACAGTGTAAAAACAAAATATTCAGATTTCCATTTGTGATAACTGATATTTTAATGAAATACCCCCAAATATTGCACACTGATTTCACAGTACTCTGTTCATCAAATCTATTCCATATGCTGCAGCCAACAGATGTTGAAAACAGAAGTTTTGAATTCGGAACCAAACAAGGCGTCACCATGAAATGCAGAAGAAGAGGCCCATTATTAAGGAGGAAGCCAGAGGCACTATTTATAATATCGATATTGTGGGAATTAAATGCTGTGCAACCCTCCAGAACTGAATGATGTGTGTACAGAAGTTGCTGAATATGTGCCTAGAGCTACCAAATACTCACTAGTCAGAAAGACTATTAAAAATACCTTATCACGCAGAAGTGTGCAAAAAGATTTAGTATTATTCTGGGCTTGGGGAGAACGAGAAACAAACCACAAGCACCCAGTCACCTCAACAGCAGCGTTTAGTTTCCTGATAGCTACTGAGTTTATGTGAAAACCTCATGGACAGCAGAAAGAAGCTTTCATGCAAAGGAAAGTTACCACAGGAGATTTAACCTCTTGTACTACATGAGGAGGATGTCAAAGGCAGGGAGTTGAGGGGCGCACGCTAGCTGGACAAGGCTGCCCTCTACTGATACTCAGTTCCCGTTCTGCCAGTCACTTACCGCTGCAGGAGCGTTCACCACCGAGAGATTGTAACCATAAAGAAAAGACGACCCAAAAGCACCAGTTAAAGAGGCTACAATAAGACTCCCAGACCAATTCTGAAAAACAAAGAAAAGATGCAGCCATTGTTAGTATACTTTAAATTAACATACCTCAGGTTTTAAACACTCCTTACGCTATCTTGCATAGCTCCTGCAGGGAGATCTCCTTGCTACAGAATGGCCTGAAACACTTCCCCTTCCTGCAATCCAAGAAACAGTAAATCTGAAGTGACAGTATCTCAGTTAACATTTACCGACGCATAAGTGAACAACTGAACTTCTTTCAACCTCACAGATTTTTTTTTTTTGCCGCAAGCATCCCATCAGCCCCCATACCAAAAAGTAAAACGCTGGAGAAGCATATTCTCAGCAAAGGAAACTGTTGGCAACATACCACTAACACAACGAAGCAAAGGAGTAGCATAAATTTGATGCAACAGGTCTGTGGGTAGACCTGACTTAGGTGAAAGCCTGTGAGACGGTGTGCACTCCCATCCGTATAAGGATTAGTGAAACTGTGACCAAACAAATTAAAATGATGCCTGCAAACTAGGTTTTGTAATCCACGTGCAAGTCTCCAACAGTAATTTGCTGCCACACACACGTACATACACACACTCCAGTGGAGACGCTGTTTGCCCTTCTTCCCCAGCGACACACCTGTAGCTCTCCCTTTTCAGCTCTCCTCCCTCCATCCCCCTCATCCTGTTTTTAGCCCACCTCTGCTAACAACTTCTTCCACATCAGCTGTTGAATAAAAGGTAGAACTGCTTAGATGCTGGATCAGCTGATTTGAGACATTTTGCATCATAGGGTCCTTTCCACTTTCCCCAGTACTACTTTCTGCCACTCAGTTCTGCTGCATTACAGAGAGCGGCAGAAGTGACCATCGCCATTCCCAAGAGCGTTAGTGCTTTGGTGGCTGGTTAGTTGTGAATGGTGTTTTGTAGATTACGGAAGACAACTCACCTTTCTTGACTTCTGAGTACGTTAAAGTGGATGGCTTTTTAATGTATTTTGAAGTTTGTTTTTTTTTTTAAAATCTGCTAAGAATCTAGAATTTCAGGCACAGCTCACTGTCATTTTACGTCCAGCCTCATGGCTCATTGAAGCCCAATCCTTTCAAAGGGAGAAAGATGTGCTTAAGGAGGCCTAATAAATTCAGCTTCACTTATATCACTTACAGCAGACACAACAGGTTAATGAGTCAGTACATTGTGCCAACTGCACAAAGCTGTATGTTCACTTTAGAAAATGAAGTTTTGGAGCATGAACTAGCTTTGTGTAGCTAGCACATGGCATGGCAGCAGTGACGATGGACTGGAACGAGCTCCACCAGCCTCACGGGCACAGCAGGGCAAGTGAACGCACTGTGGCTGTTAACATGTGCCAGAGCTCATGTTCCACACTGTCATCGTAGACTCACTATGATCCGTGGCAAAGGGATGAGATACTCAAGTGTCAGGGCAGGGACCACAGCGCACGGCCCAGCACGCGTGGGGTCTGCCACACTCTGTAGCTGCCACTCCTTAGGGCTCAAAATATGCCCTGTGGGGACAGCTGAGTGCTTTTAACTTCTTCCACGTGATGTGGGAACTTTTTAAGAGATTACACAGCTCATTAACCAGCCTGTTTTCAGTCAGGTCAGGAGGAAGCATACGGGCAGGGTGGGGGGGGAAGCCTCATGTAAGAAATATATCCTGCCGAGTTCGTTACATAAGCCAAATACAACTTCTTATTATTAGCCAGCTTCTTAAAATGAACCTGCCACATGCACAAAGCTTTGCACCATTACTTTGGTAGCAAAAAGCAGAAGTTTTGACAGAAGGCTTTATTCAGCTTCTGGTGATAGCACCTAATACTAGGTGTCCATTATTTCTCTACCATGCACAAGCGTTCCTACACTTAGGAGGAGTTGCTACTACTCTGAACTAGTGACGCTGAGGAGAATATTCTTGGAGGTCTTAGCAGGCCGCTCCCAAAGGGTTCACAAACGATAAACGCAAGTTCACAAGTGCTGTGTGGTAATCTTGATGCAATATTGCTAAAGGGCTCTGCTCCAACAATGCTAGACCTATCAGAAAAATCTTGCGAACAAAATGATTTGGATCGTATAGCCTCACGTTAAAAACTCTAGTGAAACCTTTCTGCACAGGCAAATTACATGCACATGGGGCTAACTGGAAGATAATGCACGACAAATCACAGAAGCATTGCCAAATTAGAAAACCCCACATCCACTTTATTTTCAAGTGTTGCAAATAGCTGGTTTTAGAGCCTACTTCAATACCAAGAGTTTTTCAAATATACAGCCTGCTGCGGAAAACCTCAGACTTACCCAATTCAGAGTTTTACAGCTCTTGGAACACGAACTTCAACTTCTCCATGACCTATCTCCTCACACACTATTTTAAATATTTGCTCAGGCTTCAGCAATGCCAGATAAAAGACGAAAGCACAATGAAGCAAGGACGCAAAAAAAAAAAAAATCAAACCGTTGCTCAGAAAAATATTAACCCTGTGGCAATGCTAACAAAAGGTAAGGAAAAAAAAAAACCAAACAAACCCAACGTGCTTTACAGTGACTGGGAAACAAGGCGGCAACCACACCTCCCTCATAGCTGTTCCTCCACCGCCATCCATGCGCTCACACGTCGCTGCCATCAGCACAAGGGCGTGTAGGTGTGACCGTCACCACAGCAGTAAATGTTCAGTCAGGAAAGCTGCATGGCAGTTCACAGGAAAGACCTCTAGATACCTGAGAGCTGCCTACTTGTGAGAGTCTGCATTTTCGGTCCTACCACAGATCCCAGGGCACCATGCTCTGAAACACGCTTTTCCCAACTCCTGTCCTTGTTCAGTGTAGCATTTGTGTCAGCTACTAGGAGCCTTAAGTTGTCTTTTTTTAACTGCATGCCAGTTCGCACTTCAGTTTTCAAAACGCGGTTTAGAATGCTGTATGTTGGTTAGTTAGTTATAATCCCCTCCTCAGATTAAAACACACTCGTGAGCGTACCTAAGGAAGTTTTAACACTCTTAAACGGATACTGCTAAGACTTTCTATTGGTACTGGGGACCTGGATTTTGGAGCACCTTACCCGATACCCTTAACGAGAGCCGGCTTTAG